GGTAAATATTAAAAACATCCGGATATAGAGCATACAACAATCTAGATATTTGTGGTGGCACCCTACTCGAGTCAGATTTCGCAGTCTCATAGTTTCCTCATTTCGGCGATTTTAGAGCTCTATAAGCCATCAAATCATAGCAAATCATTTATATTATCCCGGCAGCGTTGTTCGATAACGCTTGCAATCGTTTCTGTGGCTAAAATTGTCTGATATGAATTGATTTCTTCCATAGTGGTACTGTGCCCGGCGAGCTCCCGACAAGCTCCTGGTGCTGACCAATCAGCTACCTCGAAGCTCCTATCGAAGTCGAACGAAGTTATGAGTCGGTCACCTGCTTAGGGCCGTGGGACAGAGTGTCCACGACGAGCGACCACCGTGTTGTTCGTGGCGCACGCCACAAGTAGCCACCAATAATGCTTTATGCTGCCACCAATAGAAAATACATTCCGGAGGGACCAGCGCTGCAGGTATAATAGAGAGCCGCGATGCTGTCCTGTCCCAAAAGAAGGGTGCGTTCGAGTCTGGTTCGAGTCTGGGACTCAGTGCGTGATGAAAGGCCAGTTCTAGTAGTCAGCCGAGGTGTCGTTCCGGAGTGATTTTTGAAAATCATGCGACCGATGCGACGACACGCCCATCACTCATGCCCTCTTCGTCGCACTTGCTCGTTCAATTTGCCATTCAGCAATGCTCTGCAACAAGGCCATGGCGTTCTCGGACGTCCAGCGTTTGTACCACCACGACGTGAGTGTCGTCTGGCGCTTCTGCGCGGCGCAGACACATAATCCGTCGCCCTCTCTGCAGCGCTTTCTCCAGCGTCTGCGCCGCCTCGTCCTTATGTTTAGCCTTGCGTCGCCCGCGGCCGCCGAAGACCACCCCGCCGTGCCGCGCCTGCACGCGTTTCTGCTGCGCTACGTTGTGCCGCTCTCGCGCCAGCTCCAAGCGCGTGGACATTGCGTTAGCTAGTGCTTCAACCAGGGTCACGAAGATAAGTAAGTCCTTGCCGAATCCAATGCCATCGATGAGACTTATCCCGCGCCATGGCCGTCCGACACGCGAATAACTTGGCCCTTACCTTCGAAACAGCGATACTTCCGATCGTATTGGTCCGATACCAGTCGGATTTGAGGACCCGTGTGCCCTCTGCAGCGTCGTCGATACCAGCTTTCTGATGCTAGCTATGACAGCCTGCGTCGACGCGTCCCCCATCGCTGGTGCGTTCGTATGTTCCCAGGAGGCATTGGCCTCGTTGATGTATCAGTGTGTGGGCAGATTAGGTGGTGCATATCAACATGTATCGAGTTCCAGGAGCTGGCTCAAAAGCCGATCGTGGATGTCTGCGCGACGCCTTGGGCCTTGATACGGAACGTATTGAGCTCCGTGAGCAGCTTGAGGCAGTCTTGCTTGACGTGCTCGTACTCAACCTCGCGCGTCTTGGTGTCAATGACTAGTTGCGGTGTGTTTTTGTTTCAAAGTATCAAGTGGAGACGTACACTCTTTGAGGTGGTAGATGGTTTGCTCGTGGTGCCGGAGCTTTTGCTCGAGCGAGTCGAGCGTCTTGGCCGTGTCGTTGCCGGCCAGCGTGTGCTTGACGTTTTCGTATTGGTTGGACTATACTGTCATAAACACGAGCGAAAGGAATAGAAAGAGTTCGTACGAGCAAGATGACTTGAGACTTCATCGCATCCCGGCGGCGAATGTACTGCTGCTTGTAGCGCAGAAGGAGCTGCTTGGTGTTGGCGTGCGTGTCCTTCATCTCGTCAATGTTCTTGAAGCCCTCCATATCGCTTTGCATCGTGTCCATCTTTGTGTTGAGCGAGCCGAGCTCGACCGAGATCTTGGCGTCCAGCGTATTCACCTTCTCCAGCTCGGCTTGGCGTTTGGCGAGCTCCATCGAGAGCCTAGGAAGATTCGCAAGAATAATGAATGCACGCCTTTCCGATGGGTTGTACCGTGTCTTGGTCGTTTGCGCCGACTCGAGCTGGCGTTCCTTGAACGTCAAGTCGCCCTTCATTTCCTCGACTTTGGCCGCCGTTGGCATCTTGTCCTGGCGGCCCAGCCCTGCCTCGTGTATGAGACGACATACGGTAGAGACGATGATACCTAGCGAAATGTGCTCTAGGAGGCGCACGATCATGGCTTGGGACTGCCGCTGGCCCTCGAGCTCCCTGCCCTTTTTCTCTTCAAAGGTCTCCATGAAGAGCGTCATTTCTTGGTCGCGCTGGTAGAGCATGTCATATTTGTGGCTCGTCGTGTTGCCATCGGCGCCTTCGTTCTTGCGCTCCTCGAGCTCTGCCTTGCCTTCGCTGAGCGCCTTCTTGAGGCCACCTAACATGACGTCGTGTCAATAGAGATAACAAGACGATATATGGTCCAACCATTCCTCTTCGTCGATGGCCAC